GTTATGCGATGTAAGAAGGTATAACAGGGAGAGAATTGAACACGCTCTGAAAAACCGAGGAAGCGTCAAAGCAGTGAAGAAACAACTTGGGATGGGCGAAAATATGATGCATTCAGTAAGGGACAAAGAAGGCAAAATAACTACCAATGTGGATAGGATTGTTAAAATAGTGGAGGAGTTTTACAGAGATCTGTACAGTAGCCGGAACAACCATGACCTTAATACTATAAGAACTAGCAGTAACCCAGATAACACCCCGCCAGTAATGATAGAAGTCAGAAAAGCTTCGAGGAGCATGGAAAGAGGCAACCCTGCTGGTGAGAATCAGGTAACATCAGATCTGCTGAAATATGGAGGACTTATTGTGTTAGCAAAACTAGCCACCCTGTTAACAAGGTGTATCTTGACGGGAAGATTACCAGAGTCTTGGAAGAATGGTAACATCATCTTAATACATAAAAGAGGAGATGACAAGAACTTGAAGAATTACTGGCCGATCAGCCTGCTCTCTGTAGTACACAAGCTATTTACAAAGGTAATTGCTAACATAGTAAAGAAAATATTAGATTTCAATCAACCACAGGAACAAGCACAATTTTGAACAGGCTACTCAACAATCAACCACATTCATACTGTCATTCAGGTAATAGAGAAATAGTTGCAAAAGACAATGTCTACTTAGGACAGGTAATAGCCGCGGAGCCGAACCATGAGACAGAAGTAACTAGAAGAATAAGAATGGGGTGAAGCACATTTGGCAAGCACTCTCAAATGATGACTGGTAGATTACCGCTATACCTCAAGAGGAAGGTATATAACAGCTGTATCTTGCCTGTACTTAGCTACGGAGCAGAAATCTGGAGCCTTACAAAAAGGATTCAGCTTAAATTAAGGACGACGCAGCGAGCAATGGAAAAAAAATGGTAGGTGTAACCTTAAGAGACAAGATAGAACAGAGTGGATTAGGGAACAAACGGGGGATGGGGATATCATAGTTGAAATCAAGAAGAGGAAATGAACATGAGCCGGGCATGTAGCACGTAGACAGGATAACCGCTGGTAATTATGGGTAACCAACTGGATTCCCTGAGAAAGCAAGCGGTTAAGGGGGAGACAGAAGGTTAGGTGGGCAGATGAGATTAAGAAGTTCGCGGGTATATATTGGCAGCAGCAAGCACAGGACTGGGTTAGGTGGCGGAACATGGGAGAGGCCTTTGCACTACAGTTGACGTATTCAGGCTGATGATGATGATGTCCCGGCTACTGTACAGGTCTTTGTAAAACTCCTCCGCTATTTTAGCCATCCTACCTATATTTGTTGTTATTTTGCCTTCTTTGTTTTTAGTGCCTACATCAGATTTTTGCCTATCCCAAGTTTCCTCTCCGCTGCTTGGACGCTTCCTGCATTTTTCAGAGTGAGTTCAATTCTCTCCATGTTATACCTCTTTTTTATCGCATAGCTTACGCTTAATAATCAACTTCGAAAGCTTTGCCAGTTCTATTTTGTCTGTTGTACTTGAGACTTTCATGCTTTGACGCTTCCTTATGAGAAGAAGCTTTCCTGAGAAAGCTTGTACTGTCTTGTTTAACTACCGTGCCTCCAACTTCCACTGCACACTACTTAATGATACTCGTCAGATGATCATTTATTGTATCTACGCTAAGGTTGGTTTCCTCAATAGGAGACGAGTACCTGTTTTGAAGGGAGACTCTGAATTCCTATACCTTCCCTCTCAGTACTAGCTCATTGTTTGGCTTCTTGCGTATCAGTTTCTGTCGTTAGTTCTTCATGTCTAGGCGAATTGAAGACCGTATCATTCTATGGTCACTGCATCGTACCTTGCCAAGCACTTCCTTATCCTGCACGATGCCTGGGTGTGCACTCATTATAAATTGTATTTATAAAGTCATAATAAAGTCTATGTGGACTTGTGGTTTCCTACCGCATGTGCACATGCGGTTTCCTCGTTTTCGGTAGAAGGTATTCAAAATCCGTAAATTATTGCGTTCTGCGAATTCTACTAGTAGCTCTCCTCTTGCTTTTATAGCTTCAGGTGGTTAGAGCATCCGCCTCGCACGCATAAGTTCCATGGTTTCAATCCCGGTGCCACGCAGTTCCCAACCGGATAAAAAAATCCGCGTGGTGATGGAACTGCATTAGGAGTAACATGAAACGCACCGCTTATAAAAGCACCTGAAAGAGGTATTTATCCTAATAGAAAAAGCACAAACATTATCCTAAAACGTTTTCTTGCATCTTCGCCAGAGCGTGTGTCACATGTAGCGATGTCTTAGTTTGAAGCTCTGTGTGGGATTCGTTGTGCTATCTCCATTGTAATTGGAGAACGGAAGAGTGTGCGCTCGTTCCGTAAGTGGTGACAGTGAAGATGTTTATGGTTATGATCGCGATAAAATATGTCTGGTGTAATTAAAAACACACTATGGACGCAGGTGCTATCGCGGACGATACCTTTTCTAGTTTCTGTGCATTTTGTGTTTTTTTGTGGTTGACCAACAGCCAGGGCAAATCTTTGGTCACGTTATATATCAAGGGGATCACCTGGCCGCCAGAAGTGAACTACTATAGCACATAATCTGACACAAGAGATGACTGCATGATGGCACCCTTGATCACTCTTTTGTCGACGGTGTGAGCCTTGATAGTGCCTTGAAACCCGCTGGGAGCCTTGATAGTGCATATGTTCAGTCAATGCACGAAATGAACAACAGCTACAGAAGAGAGACACTATGTTTGCGCATCAGTAGTCCCTTCTACGTGTGTGTTGTCTATTTTGCACATCACACTATTAGATGCCAGCATCTGCGTCTGATGCGCGAGACAGACGGTGCGATTTTTCATTCGATGTGGCTTTCGGTGCTATATGGATAAAAAAAATAGATGGGTGCTTCGTAATCTCAGTGGTGGTGATTTTGTTTGCCTGCTGACAACCCACTGGATGATATGCGGGATTTAACTTTCCAAAACGATCGTATGAATATGAAAGACGTTGTGATGGAGGGTTCCGAAAATTTCGACCACCTGTGGTTCTTTAACGTGCAACCAAGTCTGAGCACACGGGCCGACAGGATTTTCACCCGCTGGTTACTCGTAAAGATATAGACGTCGTAGATGTAACTCTTTTACTTTAGGTCTCTCTACTTCATGTGGCATTATTTTCTAATGCCACATGGCCGAATACTTTTTCCTTTAATTGAACAAGGAGCGGCATGCTAAAAGTAACAAAGGTGCAATCAAGATAAAATTCAAGACAATCAGTGGCCAGAACATAGCTGATTTTTTGTCACTTCTGGAGTTTTTTTTTTATTCCACCCATGCTACTTTTGAGAATCAGGTCTTGTTAAACGAAAGGGTGTATGTAGTTGGTCGAGCGTGAAGCTTATACTAGCTGATTATTTCTTGGCGAACATTGATCGTGACCTGATGTGCTGTCCACGAATCCCGGCTGCGGCGGCTGCATTTACGATGGAGGCGCAATGTTGTAGGCCCGTGTGCTCAGATTTCATGTGCACGTTAAGAACCTCAGGTAGTCGAAATTTCCGGAGCCGTCCACTGTATCTCTCATAATCCTATGATGGTTTTGGGACGTTAAACCCCCCATATCAATGAATGAATGATGTTCTGTATGTACCATGGTATTACACTTTAATTTTTTACATGCTTAGATGACTACCTGATTATTCTTAAAGAAGAACCTGGTTCGACACTCACTAGTTTAGTGCAAGATGTTTTAGCAACCTCTGGAAGACACGGGAGAAGTATGACCTTCACGTTCGTACTGCCTGACAGGAATAAAATTTAGTTTCTGTATATAAAATTATCTGGCACCAGATCATGTGTGCTTGAAGAACTCGCTGCGAGCAAGAAAAGAACTGTGATTGTACAATCCTGCACTTTGTAAAACCAGTCAATGAACAATTCGCATGTTCTTTTTGAAGCGAGGCTTGGAAAAGGAAAAGTCCCGTGTGCGCCTGCTTAATGACAGAATAAACAATTAGGTTGCCAGGTTCGTGAATGCTGGTTTCCATTCGGCAGTCATAGTTGCTGCAGCGGAATATCCCCTGCAGAGCTTCAAGGCTAGTGCAACTCAAGGTGGCCAAGATGGTAAAAAAAAGTTGACCGGTGGCTTTGCCTTATAAACATAGGGAGTCTTACAACCTGAAGAATGTTGCCAGTCGCCGCGGTGTGCCGGTGGTGTTTTCTTAACTGCGCAAGCTGGCCTCACTATGCCCCCGTATCACCTCTGGAAATAGGAGCGTGCCAAATCGCACTAAGAGACACGCCACTCAATTCGTCGACTACTCGACGGAGTTAGTATATTAAATCCCTCTGACATGCGGGAAAGTGTACCCCGTCAAGCGGGTTGGTGTATAAATAAGAGACTAAGGGAACGCCAACTTCTGATGAAGCACGGACCAGGATCTAATCTGCCTCTCACTGCGGCTCATTATCGTCGGCTGCCCATGGTACACCATACCAGCCTTTGCCGGTGATAACGAAAATCTCTAGGTGTAGTCAAGACTAGTTGGCACGTGAACTTACCAAGGCTTACTTCATCACGAAAGAAAAAGAATATACATTTACGCCAGTGACACCTCCATAAAATTGTACGATAATGAAAGCAGGTTTCTCGAAAGCGCCTATATGAATTTGTTTTTGGTGTCATATATATATGCGTTTTCATTCTATTAAAATCCAGTCGCCAGTCTGCACCCATCATCGTTCACTTTCTCGTCCATGTTTCCTTTGCGCGGTACTTTTTTTAAAATAAAAATACAGTGCGAAGCAGGCCTGATAACGCTGTCAGACTCAACTTTCGAAGGCTAAGCTGAAACGTCTTTCAAGTATCTGGTTCCTCTATTTTTTAGAGAAAAAAAATACAGACCGATATTTCTCGCGTACGTATTTTATGAACAGTACTCAGACTATTGCCGCGGGTTGTGAATGGCAGCATCGTTTCTTGTAAGGTCAATATACTTACCTTCGCTGAGGGTAATATTCTGGTAATTCGGGGGAAATGTGACTACAGCCGTTGTGCGACCCCTGCGCAAGATCATAGAAATAAATGGTAAGGTTTCGTGTTAGTACATGCCAAGTAATACAACTGTGTTGTTCATGGTAGCACAACACTCACTCATGAATTCACATGCAGCAAAACAGTCGTCAAAACCAAATTACAACCCATGCTCGATAACTACCATTACTTCATCAGACTAAAAACACAAGAATGTCACAGGGTGCCTTACGCGAAGTACAACACATGCTCGATAACTACCACTACTTCATCAGACTAAAAACACAAGAAAGTCACAGGGTGCCTTACGCGAAGTACGGCTCTGTCATTAGAAGCCCCAACAATAAGGATAAGCTTTGGGCCAGCCGGGAAGCTGGCAATGTGGCAGTAAGACTTACCCGGTCCGCCACAACATGGGAGATGCCCACCGCGCGCAATTAGACAGTAAATCGCTTGGCGAACCACCCAAAATGTCTTACGTCTCTTCTCTTTCAAAGGGAATAGCTTTTCTTGGGATACTTAAAAACAGAAATTTTGGTCTTTCTGTTCCACGGTTTATCAACTCGGTTTCCAACTCAGCACAAACAAGCTTTCCAACTCAGCCCATCATAGCATGCATGACCAATAATCGCTTTATTGAACTGTGCACCACTTTAAATATCATTTACAAACATGAGGGGTCAATCTGAAACGTGATTTACGGTAACACTGAAGGATCCCCCTGTTTCGCCCACTCGTCATGATTCACTTCTTGGATATGCCGTTTTTTTCGCACCACTCGTTTTAATGGTAGCATCACCGATGGTTGCTTTTCGTGTTTGACCATGCGTCCAGGGCTTCCGCCTCACAACGTATACATCATAGGGACCCCTGCATGGACGATGTCTTTCAGTGTACTCATGTAGAATGAGCAAAAATTATGCATAACTTGCATGGAGAAGTTTCTTGAAAAAAAAACGAGGAGTTATCATAACTTTTCACAGCTAAAACTGTTACGAGATGAAAACAGCCTACTTTAGTGCAGCAGTGGTCCACCGCTAACATTCCTGGTGTTCATAACCGCTATCACATGAAATAAGAAAAAGACGCTAGGCCTACCGGAAGACGCAATGCAGTCACAGCGAAAGCTGGAATGTTTTTATGTTGTGAATTCTTTTGGTATTTTAGGTAGCCTTTCAAGGTACCTATTATGCCATAAGTCATAAATTCTTTGAAGTATAAAAGCCCCCACATGACATCATTTGTCATTCTGCTGAGAAACTTGCCACCACTTACCCATAAGTCAGGTATTATATGTGCCTTGTTAAGGCTTTGGTTGGCGCCGCCGCGGGAGTCTAGTGGCTAAGGTACTCGGCTGCTGACCCGTAGGTCGCTGGATTGAATCCCGGCTGCGGCGGCTGCATTTCCGATGGAGTCGGAAATGTTGTAGGCCCATGGGCTCAGATTTGGGTGCACGTTAAAGAACCCCAGGTGGTAAAAATTTCCGGAGCCCTCCACTACGGCGTCTCTCATAATCATGTGGTGGTTTTGGGATGTTGAACACCACAAAATCAATCAAGACTGTGGTTCACGACGCTGAAAAATTATGGCTTAGCACTTTTAATGGGTGGGAAGTATTAGCTGACCTACTCATTACCGTATTCGCATGGTGTGACGCTTCGTTTTCATTTTACTCTACTACAGCAATATAACACATACGGTAACGCAATTTTTTACTCGACATGATATCTGTGTAGGGCCTTTTAGCAAGGAAATTTAAAGCACCGGCATTCCTTTGTGATATACTAAAGCCCTTAAATCTTCGTAAAGTACTGACACACGTGGAAAACAGTGTGCTTCTTCTCTTTTCTCTCTTCTATTTCCTCTCCGAGGCACATGCCATGTTGATACTGGCCAACAGCCGCCACATGGGACAACGCAGAGCGCTCACTTGTTTAGTCAATCTTGACTGCCATCTTGTTGTATAAGTGTAGACTTGCTGGTGTACAGCGTATCTTGAATGTGTAAGCACCTGTTATTTGGTGTGGTTATCCTGTGAAATATGTTTCACACAAGACCAATGTCGCTGTTGGTTTTATTGCTGCATGGTGTGTTTTTGATGCCAGAACAAGTCTAGCGAAAGCAAAAAAGTCATTGATTATACTACTGGCAAGCGCAAAGAAGGACGACGAAAGATTTAGTTACACAAAATTAGAACTTCGGGCCGACATTTTCTGCTCGCCTTTGCGAGATAAGGTGCGGGTCTCTCACAATGAATATACGTTGACGTTCATGTGATTCAATGCCTTCCCAAACGCCGTAGCCATGCCACAATTCTTTGTGTGGTGCGACGCCATCTCTCATACACACTTTATTGCTTCTTGTGTGGGGTCCTAACTTCATTTCGGAGGGGGGGGGGGATAACATTAAGTGGTTACGTTTTCTGCTTGACGTGATGCACCGACTTCTTCAAGTTAGTCGTACTGGCTTGTGAACCTGTACATAATGCTTGCAAAATTACGATTGATAATGTTATTGCGAAACTTCAAAGATTCAGCACAGCTATTTTGAATAAAGAAAGCAGGAGTGCAAAGCCTCACATTAAGAACAGTACTCTTTGTTTCTTTTTGTTGCGTGCTAGTTTATTTATGAGCAAAAAACTTTTATTAGATCATGTGCGCTCGTCTAACAGTCAGATGATTTGCCATACGAAGGTAGCTCTGCAAAGCGTACATGCCCAACCAAGTCGCAGGGTGCGGTGACCATTGAGGAACCTCACGTCTGCGTGCTATTTCGCGTGGTTTACGTGCTACTTCGCATGAAGGTGTACATGCGCTAGTGGAGCTCACCGGAATAATTAGTTTACGGTGGCCCGCTAGTCGTTTCGTTCGCTTTCACGTTCATTAGGCACTATAGTGCGTCTGTCATATACGTCCTATTTACGCTTTTGCGCAGTATTACCGGTGCTTCAAATCCCCTAAGAAAACAACTGACGCTTTGATTTGATATGCGTTGTTTAACGTCTCGAAACCACCATATGTATATAAGAGACGCCGTAGTAGAGGGCTCCAGAAATTTCTATTTTTTTGGTTTCTTAAGCGTGCACCCAAATCTGAGCAAACGTGCCTACAGCATTTTCACCTTCATCGAAAGTGCAGCCACCGCAGCCGGGATTGGATCCAGCAGCTTTATGGTCAGCAGCCGAGTACCTTAGCCACTAGACCACAGCGGCGGGGTGAAACGAATGACGCTGTACGTCATTATAAATCAATAAATGATGTAAGCCTTCTGGCGCAATATTAACGTCAAATGCCTTTTGAAAACGCTAAAATTGACCGTCGGCGATGGCAGCGTCCTGAATCGGTGGCGTCAACATGAGTTATGCAAATGGTCATCATAAGATGCCGGCGCCATATGTCGTCATGGAATGTCACAGATTACCAGCACTTGCAATGTCATAGTAAGGCCACTATGAAGTCACCATGACGTCAAACACGATGATCTTGTCGTCACATGACAGTAGTCGTAGCATTGCCTTCTTGGTAGTTGGGCCTATCACAGAGGCAGTGTAAAACTGGGAGAGGAGCTGAAAGCGGTTGGAGGCGTGCTGGGGGAGACCAACACGTACACTGAAGAAAACCATGCAGACGGCTTTCTCTTTTGAGCCGGCTCAGGAGAAAGAATAAGGGAGACTCTGACTTTTCTCTATTCGTCTGGTGCCCAAGACTTGTTGGTCCTGTGCTGCGGTGACTTGAGGGACTGCAGTTCGGCTAGTGAGTTGTAATTCACCGATGAAAAAAGTACAGCCCATGGCAGCGCACACCGGCTGCAACGGCAACACGAACACTAAAGGACGTTCCTGTTCGTAGTTTCACCTGCTTCGCACTGCCAAGAGCTGCGAAAATCAACCAACTAGCCCCCACATAGATTGTAGCGGAACTTTCTACCGCCTTTGATATTTTTTATATTTTTTATCGCAACAAAACCTTTCCGTCGAAAGTCTCCAACTTTGCAAAGGCTACTCTCGAAAGTGAGTAGAAAATATTTAAACAGAACTTTTCTATCTCTGTTTTGTAGTCTTCTACTGGTGAAGGGATGCGCACAACACTGCTTGACTTGCGTAGTGACGATTGCATTGCCAGTGAAAGTCGAAAACAGGAACCACATGCAGTTTTTCCAGGCTTCAGTATGTTTTGTTCAATAATAAAGCAAACACTGTAGAAAACTCTTGGAAAAAACCAAAAGGCTCTATATTCGTTTTTTTTAGAGCTCTGACTTGTCACGTATATGACTTTTTTTACATAGGCATGCCAATTGTTTTGGGGGTCATTATTACTCTTTTTATCAGAGGTCTGTGAGCCACACAAGACTTAACATTCCCCTTTAAAAGAGTTGTATACGTGACAAGTTGGGACTAGACGCAAGAGTCTCACGTACTTTTTTTTCAGGCTTTAGTTTTTTCAGCACGCAAACTTTCACACTAGCTGTTAATACTGAAGTTCCTTCTGATTTATTTATACAGCATAAAACACCATCACAGTCGAGTGGCCAATTTGGTCCGTTGTAGCAACACTGGTAAACTATCATTTTTAAACGAACTTTTGTGGTTCCACTCATGCGAAACTGGTGAGTAAAATGAACAGAAAGTCACTATGTTCAGGTGTTTTTTATTGCATATGTAACTTGAAAGCGGACACGGGCGCCTAGCGCAAATTTTTTACATTCCTAAAAAGTCAGTGTTTTGCCGCGAGGTCGAATCAATCAATGCGATGTAAGAAATTGGAATTTTACTAGAAGAAAGACAAGAATTTCGAACGAGTAAACAGTGCGAAAGAACAAGGACGAATGAATGAAATGACACACAATGGCGCTGATTCGCGATTCTCTCTGTCGTTCCTCTCTTTCATCATTGTTCTATCACACTGTTTACCCATTCAAAATATACAAGAACTTGCCCAGCTAAAAGTTCTGATGAAACGACAAGCAGTGCGATATTTTCAGCATGCCACTAAAGCGCAAAAAGGGACGCTAAAAAAGAACACACAGCTAT